TACATACATATATATATATACTATATATATATATATATATATATATATATATATATATTATATATATAATATATAATACATATATTCACATCCCCCTTCTCTTTCTTTCTCCCACCTTCCCTCTCTCTCTTTCTCTTTCTTCTCCCTCTCCCTCTCACACAAACCTCTCTATCTCTGCCTCCCCCTCCCTTCTCTTTCTTTCTCTACCCCCCCCCCCCATCTGTCACACACCTCTCTCTGTCTCTGCCTCTCCCTTTCTTCTCTCTCCTTCCCTCTCTCTCTCTCCTTTGATCCTTCTCTTCTCACTTCTCCAACCTCTTGATCCTCTCTTCCTCTCCCTTCATCCCTCCACCCCTCCTCCTCTCGCTCCCTCTCCCATCGCTGCCTCTACCCCCCTTTCCCTTTCTCTCTCTATCTCTCCCCCCCCCCCCCTCTCTTTCTTTCTCTTCCTTCCTCCCTCCCTCTCTCTGCCTTTCACTCCCTCCCCTCACTCCCACTCTCTTATTCGCTAACTCTCATTCTCTCGCTCTCTGTCTAGCCCTCTCCTCTCATTCTCTTTCTTTCTCTTTCTCTCTCCCTGTGACTCATTCTCTCTGATTCCCGTTTCCTCTCTGTCTGTTTTTATGTATATGTTTTGATTGTTTTTTCTTTCTCGTTCGCTTGCGGCATTGACTGTGACGTCCAAGAAGTGTGAAAGAGACAGGGGGGCGGCCCTCTCCTCCATTCTCGGACTATAAAGGAACGGCTTTTTTATTTTCTTACAGAACGCATTTAGTGCTACAAAGCTTTTTACAGTGCATCAGTCATCTAAATCAAATATTTGTATATCATGTACAGTATTTTCTTACAATAACGTATCGCTGATGCTGTCTCGGCGATACATCTATTGTTATCGTCTTAAATATCATCGAAAAATCGATGTATCGGAATCGTTTTACAATTTTTCTTCGTATCGATGCATTGGAATCGCCTGAGACAATTCTGTGTATCTATGCCCATCACTGGATATAACGCAGTATGATTTCTACTTATTGTAACACTTTGGTTTCGGCGAAAAGAAAAATCTCAATTCATTAGTTCGTTTAGCTGCTACTAGATGGTGTAGCTCCGAGAAGCAGTTGATAAATTCTCAACGAATTTGCAAATTTCTGTTTGATTTCGCTGTCATACATAGTTGTTTGAAGTATGAGGCGTTTTCTAGGTTCAAGAAATCATGCAAATATCAGTGTTAATTGTTTTGTTTAAACAAGGGAGATATGCTGCCTTACCTCTATAGGTGTTGCCATTTCGATGAACATTTCCAAAAAGTCACAATTGAAAAAATATTCCACTACAGAGCCAACGACTACTATACTGCGTGTTTTGCAGTCACTTATTTGAAAAGAAGGCAATATGAAATGGCTTGCTTCCTTTCTAAAAATAGATATTATTATACTTATTGGTTATTTCTATTCGACCAATCGCGCTCAGTCTTACAGACAATCTAGGGTTTTCGCCCCATTCATAGAAATACTATTTATTCTATAGGCCTTTTTTTCCGCCGCCACCGGGATGTAGTACTACAGTATCCAATTCTCAGCTCATGACCCCGCCCCTAATCGTGGGAGCGGAGTCATATATAAACAGACGCACCACGCAGAGGAGCGCGCGCGGAGCTACTCTGTTTGAAATGAAATGGCGAAACCAGAAGTGAATTTTGATGCTGCTCTGCATACTGCATTATTCATCGACGATGATGTTACTGAGGATATTGTTGCATTGATTGCTGGACTAAATGTATTGGAATCTATATCGAGTGGAATTTTTATGGAAACCGGAGTTTGTGCCGCAGCAGTTCCAGTTCTGAAACAAAATGTGACCTTCACAGATGCAGTACTTACTGCAGATGATATATGGTAAATGCATATCAGTCTACTAGTAAAATTTTATTTTAATCAAGCGCTGGTAGGCAGGTTTACCCATATCCATTAAACCTCTGTGGCAAAAGACTTAACATCACGTGTTATATTGAGGCTAGATGGAACTTGGACTAGATCATTACAAATTAATAAATAAATTTGATAGCATTAACTTAACCATATAATAATATGCATGTCATTATTGTGGTTTTGTGACTTTATTTCTACTAATCTTAGCACAGCCCTGCTCTTTATAACAAACAAAATGTCAAATACTTTTAAAATCAGTTGATGTAGATTACTATTACCCATCTAAAACACTTTCAGGTCATTGACAATTTCATTAAGAGTATGAGCAAGGCCTTTATTCCATTCCTGTGATCTGAATAGAGTTATGCTATATATCCAAGAAAATGTGCACTTGTGCAGGTTAAGCTCGGTAATTCTTTACATGGATGCAACTCCACATCAAAAAATTTATTAATCAATCTTAAGTTGCCCAGACTGGGCACTGCCCGAGGGGAGGGTTATATATATATATATATATATATATATATATATATATATATATATTATATATATATATATATATATAATATTATAAATATAATATATATATATAATGCATATATATATATATATATAATTAATATACATATATATATATATATATATAATATATATATATATATAATTATATATATATATATATATATATGTATTATATATATATATAATATATATATATATATATATATATATATATATTATATATATATATATATATACACACACACACACACACACACACACACACACACATACATACATACAAACACACACACACACACACACACACACACACACACACACACACACACACACACACACACACACACACACACACACACACACACACACACACACACACACACACATATGTATATATACATATATATATATATATATATATATATATATATATATATATATATATATATATATATATATACGTACACATACATTCATTCATATAAATATGTATATATATTTTTTTTTTTCTGTTTTTCAGGTGTGAGCATCCACGGCAGATGGGATATGTGGAATTCCTTGAAAGCATGAATGAGTTAGACTTCTTCAAGCACCTGCGTGTTACCAGAACTTCTTTTGACAAGATTTTGTATGAAATAAATGTCCAGTTAGGAGAGAAACCTCGAGGACGAGATCTTCCACTTGGAACGAAATTAGCTCTCTACCTCACTCTTTGGTATTTAGGTAGCCAAATAACTTACCGTGAGATAGGTAAAAAAAAAATGGAATTTCAGAAGGTACTGTTCATTTATGTGTACAAAGAGTAATAGATGCTCTAGTTAATATTCGAACAAAATACATAGCATGGCTATCAGAGGAACACTGTAGGACTGTAGAAGAGGAATTTAGAAAGTTTGCTGGTTTTAGAGGTGTGGATGTAGCAGTAGATGGGTGTCATGTTAGGATTAAAGCTCCATTCTTGCAACAGAGTGATTACCTCAACCGAAAGTTTGAGACTGTTAATTTATTAGCTGTTGCTTCAGCAAATTTAAAGTTTACTTATGTGTATGCAGGATTTCCTGGCAGAGCACATGATAGTAGAGTGCTGCAGAATACACCTTTTTGGATGGATATTATGAATGGACAGGAACAGAAGTATTTTCCATCTGAACAATACCACATATTAGGGGATTCAGCCTTTCCGTTGCACACACATTTGCTAGTGCCATTCAAAACTGTTGGTAATGTTTTACAGTCTCATTAGCAAAAGTACAATCAAATTCATTCAAAAATCAGGGTTATAGAAAACGCTTTTGGATTCTTAAAAGGAAGATTTAGACGACTTGAATACATTGATGCAGACATAGAAAGAGTCAGCTACATAATCATAGCCAGTTGTGTTTTACATAATATAACTATTGATAATGCACTTGAGCGTCAACTTCTTGAGAATGAAGGATTAGCAAATGAAAATATCTTAGCTGAAGAAAATGTACCTGTAGAAATTGTGGGAAACATATCAAGTGTTACCAAAAGGGAAGAGATTGCACATAATTTGTAAATGTAAAGTGATAATACTATTTAGTTAATATGATTTTTTTATGTATAATGTATGTTTTTGTGTAATGTGATAGTACCTTTGTAAATTAAATATTAAATGTATGTGTATATAATTTGTGTCAATATATTAGTGCTTGTGAAATAGTGTTTTTTTAACCTCTGTTGACAAAAATCCTAAGTTATATAGGTATATCATAGTTACAGAAATGGTACTAGTAAGAAAAACACCATAATATTAAAACACCTTGCACTGTTTTAAATACAATGATCATAAACTATAGGTTATATAGAAATTTCATGTAATTATGAAGCAATAGAGAGAATTATGTGATATCACTGTAGGGTAATATATATTTTGAGCACAAAGTGGAGGATATCATAAATATTTCATATAAGATCCTACAGGAAGGTTTCTACATAATTAAAAAGATTTCAGAGAAAGGAAACTTTAAAGTCTAGTACTCAATCTAATCATCATTAACTTACTAACATACTCTATCATGTAATGGTATGAAAAGAACTTATGGGAAATAAAAAGTTTTAAAAATATTACATAATTTTATACAGTATAGTATTTGTACTATCATTAGGTATTTGTCATGTTATCTGCATAAGAGCTTAATCGCTATTATATACTACATTTATCTTTGTACTACGAATAAGTATTTGGCATAAATGTTTCCCTGCAATGATACTGAAACTAACAAAAAAGAGATCAATCAGTAATCTTAACTAACAAGATTCTTCTTAACATAACTCTTGAAATTAAACATCATGAGATCTTCAATCAAACAAAATCTGATTTTTAAAAATGAAATGTACATAAAATGAAATATAATGAACAAAAAACTAAAGAGTAAAAGCTACTGTAAATAATAAAAATTAAAATAAAAAAAGGACAAGTCAATGACCATTCTATATTTTATTATAAGCTAAAGAGCACCAAGAAAAATACCATTTGGTATGAAGCAAACTCTAATTGAGGCACCCTACGTAAGACATGTAAAAAAA